GGTGGTGGTGGTGTTGCTGCTGCTGCTGCTGCTGCTGCTGCTGTTATGCTCATTATGTGTTCTTGCTCTTGCGTGTGCTCTTATTGCCGCTGTTTCTGCTGCAAGCTCTTGTCGTTGTTGTTGCTGCAGCTGCGGCTGGTGTTTGCTGCCGCTGCTGGTGTTAGTGTTGTTGTTGCTTGGGTGAGGGGCACACTAATGCTGGTGGTGGTCCCGCTGGCGCATAGTAGTGCACCCGGCTCTTCTTACAGTGTTATTTCGTCGTCTCGGACGTGTAAGGTGTAAGAACAAAAAAGAACAACAAGAAACCTCACTACGACACGCAGTGATGTCACGGCAACGTAACGTTTTGTAGCCAACAGAGGTCCTAGCTGTCCTAACAAGCCCGAAAACCCACAGAGCTCATGCGCTTGACTTATGGTCACCCAATCAAATGCCAGGATTGGTATTATGGGGGGCCTGCATGATTAGAATAGGGGCTTTTGGGGAGGGGGGGTCATATAATAGTATATTACAATATCGAACCCTAAGGAGTAATATTGGGAATTACTCAGGCTTCTGCATTACACAAGCTTGACATTGTCCCGGATCGTCGTCATCACCAATACCCTAAACCTTAAACCATAACCCCTGCCTGCTTTGTTTTAGCAGCACCGTCACAACATAGTATAGGCAGCTTAGTCATCATTCCCCTCAGTGATGTCAATATCATCACCAGCAACACGTAACTGTGGCAAGGTTATCAGCAGCAGCCTAATGCCGAAGGGACATGGCTCAGCTCAGGACATCAGCCTGAACTCGGTGCTCATGGCCTGCGAGCAAGGTGGTCGATGGCCTTTGGTGCTGCAGTTGCTGGAGGATGCATCAGGGTTCAGGCGCCAGAAGCCCGGAGACGCCCTAAGCTGCCCCAGAACCCTAAACCCTAAAGTCTAATTTTTTTCCTGAGCCCTAAACTGCCCCAATCCCCTATCAGAAGCTTTCGATAAACTCTGAATTGCACTAAGCCTTAGACCCCAACCGCCCCAAGGGAAATCTAAACCCTATCAGTTATGGTGTCACAGGACGTTAATGATTCGAATGGGGCCTTTGGGTCAGATTCAGGAACTCTCCTCTGATCTATTAAGGGCTCCTGTTTGACCCAGCCTTGCGTTTCAGCCTTTTCGCTCGCTTCTAGTCTGGAGCACCGCGTTTCGGCCTAGGCCCCAAAGAGGTTTTGGATTTAGGAGTTTAGGGCTGGGAATTAGGAATTTGTGCCTTCTAAACTCCGGCGTTGAGGGTTCTTGACTCTTGTGATTTAGGTTTTAGGGTTTAGGCTTAGGCCTTGGGGTATGGGTGGTTCTCCCCAAACATAGCCCGGCATCCGTCCTAAAGGGACCTAATTCAGAGAAGTACCCACATCTAAGAGAACCTAAGGGCCGGAGCTACACCGAGATATCTTGTGTATTGGCGGTCTCCGCGATAGGGGTCCTAGCTAAATTTAAACGTCATGATAAGAAACTGCATACATGTTTCCGACATTTCCGGTGTTCCTTAAGCATAAACGGGAAAAAGGGGGATCTCGGAAAATCTGGAATTTGTAAGACTCTCTTTACCCAGACCCCCACAAGGATCTAAGAAATAGATCCCCTAAGGGGGTTCCTATGAAGTACCCTTTAGTAGTTAGGGTCCCTAATTAGGGGATCTATTTTTTGGATCCTTTTGGGGGTCTGGGTAAACTCCCGTTCTTACATCACAAGGCCGAACCAGTCATCCCGTCCGCAACTTACCCTAAGGCTCCATGTACCTACTACTTAGGGGTACTTAGAAATAATTTTTAATCTTTGGCTAGTACAAACCCTAAGAAGCAGCTAAAATTATAATTTGTGCTAGGGGTCTAAGTTCAGTATAGACTATGAGTAGATACTTAGGACTTGAAGGGGTTCCTATATGGGTAGTTGTCAAAATTAGGGTACCTTATTTGGGGGTCCTTATAATAAGGATCCTACTATTTAGGGTACTATATTAGGGTCCCTTATTTTCGGAAAATCCCATATAGGTACCTTAAGGCCGAAGTAGAGAAGTTTCTACTAAGTTACGATGTGGGTGCATGGAGCTTTCGGGGATTTCAGGGGTTTACGGTTTCAGTGTCTAGGGTTTAGGGCTTGAGGGTTTAGGGTTTAGTGTTCTACGGTTTAGGGTTTGGGGGATTTTGGCTTTAGGTTTTGGGGGTTTAGGGTTTAGGGTTTTACGGTTTAGGGTTTGGGGATTTTAGGGTTTAGGGTTTAGGGGGGAAGTTTAAAGGCTTAGGGATTGGCGGACCTCGAGAAATCCTGGCAATGCCGTTGAGAAGCAGACTCAGGGTGAACTTGCTGGAATCCCTGGGCAAGGAGCTCTCCAAAGAGCTCAGCGAAGAGATGCTCAGCAAGACCGACAAAACCCTAAACCCTAAATCCTAAACCCTAAACCCTAAATCCTAAACCCTAAACCCCTAAACTCCTAAACCCCTAAACCCCTAAACCCTAAACCCTACCTCCCCCAAAAAGAAGAAAGCTTCACGAAGAACTCGAGGATGATGGCAAAGCCCTTGGCCCTGGATGCGTGAGACAGACAAATGGGTAGTTCTCTAAATTTAGGGCTTCTGAAAGGGATCTATAAGGGTAATATAAAGGGTTTTTGTTTAAGGGATCTCTGACGGTACTATAAGGGTTCTATATGTGGGTAGTTCTCTAAATTAGGGTCCCTTTTAGGGTCCTTTTCATAAGGGTGCCGTACTATATTGGGGACCTACAAAGGGACCCTAATTTAGAGAACTACCCAAATGTTGCCAGGATCTCCTTGAACTCGGATTTGAGGAGATGGCATCAACGATGGATTCGCCCAGAATCTCTCAGAGGAGAGCGAGAACCTCCTGATGCTTGTGATCAAATCCTGGTCCCTCAAGATCCTAGATGTAAGTAAGCTAGATCACCTATATCCTACTAAATATGACCTACGGCTGTAAGATATCAAAAGAGTTGTTTGTTTCTAATTTAGTTAAAAAGCAACACAATCCTCTACCCCCAAACTATAAACCCTACTCGAACCTCGTCCAGGGTTTGAAGTCAAGCTTTCGGATTTCGAGTTGAGGATAGCCTCGGGCGTTCTGTTTAGGGTCTGTGGGCTGAAGGTTTACGTACCAGGCTAGTGGAGTTCAGTCTGCCTTGGCAGGGGTTTAGTACGGGTGTGAGGTTTGCGGTTGGGTTGAGAGATTGGGCCCTCAACCCTAAACGGTTTGGGGTCTGTCGCGGAAGAAGCATCGAAGAGGCCCCGTGCCGACTCCATCAGCACTTCTGCTGCGATTGGAGCCTGTGAGCGCCAGGGGCAGACGGCACGCTGGCAGGTCTGATGATGATGATCTATTCGTAGTCGTAGTAGTGGTAGTAGTAGTCGTCGTAGTAGTAGCAGCATGAACGGTTAGTATGTATTAGCATTTACATTCCCTAAGAGTGCCTGAGAAGAACTATGCCCGCAAACCCCATTCGGATGTTCATTAAGTCTATTGAGGTCTACAGTCCCTGCGGAAGAGACCACGAAACCGTGCTATTTCGGATACTGCTCGCACTCATAGCATCTAAAGCACGCAGATATAAGGCCCCCCCATAGCAGCCTTATTGCAGACTGCTGTTGCTGTGGGGGCGGTATCGATATATGAGACATAGTAGTCCTACTATCTGTTGGGGGCAGTACCCAAATGCTGGGAATCAAGGCCCCTAAACTTTAACCCCTACACCCTAAACCTTATATTAGATGGGGAGCCAAGGGTCCGAGACCCAGCTTCGGGCCGGAGCCAAGGGGGGGAATGGCTCAGGACTTGGGGCTCAGGATTTAGGGGTTTAGGGTGTAGGGGTTTAGGGTTTCTTTCTATTACAGGAGCTAGGAGAATCAGTAGGCCTGATCCTTAACCCCAAACCCTAAACCCCAAACCCCAAACCCTAAACCCTAAACCCTAAGGGTAGTATACCCCCAAAGCCTGTTTCGAGCATCATCAGGGTGCCACATTTGGGTTTGAGGGTTTAGGGCCCAGGCAGTGAGACTAAGCGTGGTGGGTCGTGGGTTTTGGGGTTAGAGTTTATAAGTTTAGGGCTTAGGGTTTAGGATTCATGGTTTAGGGCTTAGGTAGGATGAATATAAATTCTCCAGCTCCGCTCAAGGCCACAGAAGCTTCTGCAGCCTTAAACACTAAACCTCTAAACCTAAACCTCATCACACCCTGAGCCCGACGGCTCCTCTACGGCTCTTCGCCGCAGAGATGTCCTGCCGGCAGGTCGTTCTCGTAGTATAGAGGCCTGAAAAAATTAGCCCTAACCCCTAAACCCTCAACCCTAAAGACCTAAACCCTAAACCCTAAACCCTAAACACCTCTGTTTCACAACCAAAAAAGGACGAAGGGCGGGCAACCCCGCGGCAGGCGCAGCTGGCAAAACAGACTCAAAAGATCCCCTCCTGCGCTCGCCCTGAGATTTTCCCGAAGCCTTTCAAGAGTCCTCAACCCTAGGTAGTATTATTAGGGGTACCCCTTAAAGGGCACCCCTTCTGAACCCTAGTTTTGGCTCTCTTGAACGGGACCTTATTGAGAGGGTCGATATCCCCAAGGGTCCCCCTATGGCTCCCAAACCCTAAACCCGAAAGTAACAATATACCCCCGAACCCTTTTCTAATTCTGAAGGCCTATATATTTAGATCCTAAATCCTAAACCCATACCAAAATCATTTCTAATTCTGAAGGCCCCCTATATTAGATCCTAAAACCCTAGACCCATACCGAAATCCTAAACCCGAGAAGGTCACGGAACCTCCAAGTAAAGAAAGCCCAACCCTCCAGCTCCAGACCCTAAAAACCCGAACCTGGACCCTAAAGAACCTACCTGCTTAGGGTTCCTTAATATGAATTCCTTGTATAAGTCCTTAAAAAGCTAGGTTATTTGGTGTTAAGGAAAACCCTAGAAATCCTAAACCCAGATCCTCCCTTAAAGGTAGCCCCCCTGTCCCTTTAAGGGACCCCTCTAAAGCACGAGCACCCAGGTGAGGGACCCTAAACCCTAGACCCTAAACCCTAAACCCCCTAGACCCTAAACCCTAAACCCTAAACCCAATGATCCTTTAAGTAAGGCTTCAGGGATCCTCCGAGGCGTCTTCGACGGCCTGGAGCACCTGAGGCATTCTGTCATGTCAGTA